GTACAACAGTCGACATAGCTTTTCGGTCGTTTAGTTGCTGTGACTAATTTTTCTTTCCAAACTGAATGCATAAGGAACAAGCTAAGTCAATTATTTTGCTCGGCATCTCAGTCTCATGTTGAACTGCAAAAAAGCTTGAAAAGATTCCAAAAATGTACCGAATGAAGGGCGGGCTTGAGTGTAGGAAAAGATGTGCATGACAAGACCACTCACACTCTCAAAATTAAGTACCCAATGAAGAGGCATTGCGATAAATAAAACCTTTTATTTATCTCTGTCCGGGTGAAAGACACACGGTCTTAAACAGCCGTTTCAGCTAATACTTTCGCCGTTTGGTATACACCGTTTTACGATCGTAACCGCCAAGAAACGGTAGTACATGTTAGCGTTTTTAGAACTATTCGTTCTACGGAAAAAAATCTTGAAAATGAAGATATACTCTTCGAAACGTCGATATTAATAACACGGAATACCAACGCCTATACAATCTATACATCTCTCTCTCTCTCTCTATATATATATACAAAATAATAATAATAATAATAAATCCCAATAATCAAACATAGATTGATACAGCTATTCTAACCCTTAACTTGAGATCAAATCACATAAAAATCATGCTTTATACTGCGGTAAAAACACTAAGATTTGTAAATATTAGTTCACGTGTAACTGGATTAATACTGAAAATCCATGGTGTGCAACTCTTGCTTTATGCAACTCAAGTACACAAAGTGATACATGCATGATATGGCTTATAATCTACGGTCAATTGAAAGTCTCACATCAATTTCATGCAAGATCAATAAAAGATTTTTGCAATAATCATTCATACACGTTGGCGATGTCAGCGGCCGATTCGAGTAATCCCATCACTGACTGATTCACCCATAGGAATAGGTGTGCATGACAAGAACACTCACCATGCTTTAATAGCGTTGTCTACTCAAGTGGCAATCTAGTTTAAAATTCTTTCATGTTTTCATCAAAATATTAGATATTTGTCTGTTGACAACAACTATTTAGATTGCCTTTTGAAATTTAAGAAAAAAACTTCGTTCATCCGCCTTTTTTTGAATAAAGCAAAAGTGTATAAACTGTTGATTTCGGTTGAAAGACATTAAATAAACATCCTGATTAGGATCTAACTAGTCTTGATAATTCTGTTAAAAATAATTCAGATGGCGAAGTCAAAACAACGTATGAAAAATCTTGTGGTTTTGCCGACTGTTTATGAAAAATTCTTTATTTTTGAAAAATCTAAATTCTATAAGAATTCTTATTTTTTCTAGGCCTTTAATCTGAGGCCAAGTTGAAAACAATAAAGTACAAAAAAAGATTTTTCCAATTAAAAATCTTTGAATAAATTGATGACTGGTATTATTAGGAATTAGTCAAGGATTATCAAAATTTTTAACTACATACACACTTGATGTGGCTTTTGTTCAAAATCAAATTGAATTATTTAACGAATGCGTTTGATAGTATCGCCTCTCGATTTTATCGACTATTGACAGAAATGGTAAACATCTCAATGTCATTCCATACACGAGATGATCATATCGTTATGATGAATTTATGAACAAGAAAACGAAGAACAATGCATTCATCCTGGTTGCTTTTGACTGTTTCATTTCATATATAGGATGAGAACAAAAATTCGTCCATACTTAAGTATAGTTCTTTTGTCCTATTAGATTACGAGTTTGATTATTAAGCTCTTCATAGTTTTCAATAATAAGAGAGCCTGTCTCACTCGATAATATTCATTGGCCATGATCACAACTAGTTTTAAGCGCGCCAAAACTAATCCACGTCAACAATTATGCTTGGTTTCGATTGCATGACGTATTTAAAAAGGCATACAACAATCCATCAAAAAATGTGGAGAAGCAGACGGAGTACCATAAAGTAAGACTAAAGTACACACTGCTGAAAGTAGGGGCGTCAATTTACAGTTTATTTAATTTAAATTTAACTTCGTGAAAAGTTAATTTAATTTTAAGTTAAATTCTATCAAGTTAAATTTAAAATAAATTTAAATTTAATTTTTGAAAATTTCTTTCTCGATTTAATAAATTATTTTAAATTTAAATTTTAAATTTAACAAATTGTTTGGATGGATACACATCATTGCTACGAGAGAAATACGTGACTTTAACAGCAGTAAATATTAAATGAGAGGAAAACCTAGTATTTTAGGTTAATATTTATTCATAATAGTCAAAATTTCTCTTCAGATTATGCAGGATCCGTCATCTTTCTTCTTCAGAATACTGGGATACTCATAAAAATATATTTAATAGCACAATCCATAGAAGAATGGCTAGCTTTAACTTTAGAAGACAGGAAACATGCTCAAATTTGACTTTAAATAGTAGCAATCAAGTCAAAAACTATTTTTATCTGCTAGTTTTCAAAATTAAACTAATTTGAATTTCAAACAATTTAATTTAAATTTAGTTAAATTTAAATGTGACGCCCCTAGCTGAAAGCTCGCTTTGCCTAACTTCATCCAAAGTAGAATTAGAAAATAATGACGCATTCTTCTAAAATTAAATCACATTCTATTTCTTGAGGATGTGCACATTGAAGTGTATATAATTGACCGTAATCATCTTTTTGTTAGTTTAATTTTGTAAGGCTATTAAAATATACTAATACGATGGATTTCTGATTTTATTTTATCTTTAATCACACACTTATGGAATTAATAACCGTTAAAAAGATCATATATCAATGTTAACAGTATGAAAAATATCTATTTGAATAATTATCAAATGAGACATTTATTTTTCTCTCATGTTACTAAATTATTTATTTCAACATTGATCAAATGTGTAATTGTGATTATTGTATTTCGATGGTTCAAGAATCCGCTCCACTATTGAGAGAAAACTCTGAAATACTGTAGACCCTGACCTCACTCCGATTCTAAAATGTCATATCAAGATAACAAAATCAGCACGATAGCCATTTGTGACTATTGTTAAACTAGCATTGAAAATTCTCTACAACTTCATTGCATTTCTTGAAACCACAAAGATATCACAATGCAATTAGATAATTTTTGTGAGTTGATCTCCAATATATTATTATTTTTTCTTGCAAGCTTGTAAAAGTTAAAATATTTGACCTGCGGATATTTTTATTCTTCTAGTGTTACTTTTGCAGGATTACGATAAAAATGAATCACAGATTATATGATATGTGGAACAAGTCTTGGTTTCTAACCCTCATATTTCTGTATGTACATATTTCCATGGTGAGTATTCATTTTGAATGAATTTCTCAAAAACAAATATACCATTTTAGGATACGCAAGGACATTTTCACGTAAAAAACACTTCTCAGTTAAGTTTTGAATATTGTTTTGATGAGAACCTGAAATATCAGAGTGGCACTCTGCTATGGCATAAATGATATGCCATAAGACATGTTGTGTTTTGGTTTTATATTTTCTTTCGTTTTGTTAGATGTTCTGTAGTTTATTCTTTGTTTTGGTCGAACAACTCTTGTTCGTTTTCTTTCTTCTCTCTATTTCTTTTTCTCATCTGAAAAAGCTAAAAAGGATGTGAATAGATTATGCCATATAATCTATTTTTGCCTGTTCATATTGCTCAGTTGAGTTAGGTACAACGGGAGGAATAAATGAATTGGAAAAAGAGAGTGTGCGGTTTTGATTGGAGATTGAAAATAAAACGAGAAGTGAGTGAAATTGTACCAACACATATCAACGCTCTAAAAAAGGCATAGCATACTCAAATATTTTCTTGCTTAATTAAACCAAGCTTCACCGGATTTCAACGTTGTTTCTTAAACTCCAATCGGAACAATGTTAAGCGCTCAACAGGAATAGTTATAAACATTGGAGCATTCGTAAGAAATTGACATCGATATCTTTGTCGTAAACACATAGATTAATAAAAAAAAATAATTGGCATATTCCGTAAAATAAAAAGATTCTTACAGAATGAAATCATTTGAAACATTTCACTGTAATAAAAGCGTCTTATGACTAACAAATATCGTTCTTATATTGTATATATTTAAAGCAATTTTACATACAAAAGAAAACCAGTGCTAAATAGTTGTCAGCAATGATATAATTCAAAATTTTATTTTTGTATATAATCTATTCATCATTCACAGACTCTAATATGTTCAAATCTTGACATCGAATTATATTTATATAATAATCTTCATAGTTCAATTCTTGCCGATGAATTTTTTGTTTTTCAAAATTTCTCTCATTCGATTGATTCGATCCTTCTCAAATAGTATTAGATCAAGCATAACGTTGTAACTTTTCGTGCTTTTTTTACTTTATCCCTGAATATTTTGTAGCAACGAATAATAGTATTTGTGGTTATTCGTAGCGAGTCACAATCATAAAGAAATAATAAATATTATTAATGATATGTCTGTTTATCTTAATACTTCTATTCATCTTAATACTTCTTTACATCTTAATTATAGTTAATTTTACGTCGATGTAAATCTATAAATTTTATAACCAAGTAATAAATCAGTAAATGACTTTATAATGAATACAGATGCTTCAGAATATTCTGTTGATAGACATTGAAAACTATAATCATTATTTGACTGTATCTTTACCATGCAAAACATAAACGATACGCCTCACTTCATATGAATGCAAATGTAAGTAGTTATTCAAAGAGAAATATTACATATACAAATATTAGAAGGTAAGAAGGAGAGAGAGAGAGAGAGAAAAGAGCGAAAGGAAAAAGGTAAGAAAAGGAAAGGCATTAATAAGAAGGAAATCGATCAGTTAAATTTACTGGCATATTATATCAATGATTTCTACTGTATGGATAGAAAATAATGCATAGAACAAATCAAATTTTATTAGTGTTAACAGCAGTCAATAAAAACTAGAAATACTTTTCATGTTCTGTATTTTTATTTGAATTTGAATTGTACACTTATACGAATATATTAATCGTTTCTTTTTCTTATACATTTTACAAGTCATGTCATCATTAGTTATTGGTCTAGATATCAATGATAGTCAAATAACATCAGCGCTTGTACGTATCGAACCATTAACATGTAAACGATTATCTATTGAACGAGATACATATTTTACGCGTTCGTTTGACATAAATCCCGACAGTAATCCAAGGAATATTATTTCAGTTTGGATTCAATGTATTAATGATGCAATTCTTGATTTTGTTGATCATTATAAAGAATTTGATAATATTGTTGGTATTTCTATTGGTATGTCTGGTCCTATGGATTATGAATCAGGTATATGTTATATTCAATCACCTAAATTTAATAAATTTTTTGGTCTTAATATCCGTTTATCGCTTCAAAATGGTCTTAAAAATCTTGCTGCTCATTGGAAACATGATTATTATGATAGATATCATACAGAATCGACGGCAGCATCGCCAAGAAAACAAACCATTCTTGATGGATTACGATTGCAACCACCAAAGTCAACGACAATTACATCGCCAGGAACGCCTCGTACTCCAATTCTTGTTAATTTAGCACCGCTCTCACTCGGCAAAGCTCTACAATACAAAAGTCTAAGAACAAATTTCCTAGATTATTGTGGTCGACAAGATGATGATTATGATTTGAGCGATGAAAATAAAGGATGTTCATCAATATGTCGATCACGTCGTGACACATATTTTCATGATATCGAAATGACTTCATCGGCACAATTTCCGGCAGCAAATTATTTTAATCCAAGATTATGGACAATTCTTGAACAAATAGTTCATCTACCGATTTCATTTTATAATTCTACAGTATGTTTTGGTTTAGGTGAAGCCAATGATGTTTGCAATCAACATTATGAACGCATTATTGCTTTAACACTGAGTAGTAGTTTTAGTTCGGCATTTATTGATCGAGGAGAAATTATTATAAATCGAAAAGATGTTCCACTCGATGGTACACTATCAAAATGTCCTTACGATCAACATTCTATAGCCGATGATTGGTTTTCTACTCGTGGTTTACTTAGGATTTATAAAAAGATTCTTACGCATGAATCTTCTGATGATAGTTCCGATACAAGTAGTACGACATTATCAATAGATGAACGACAACAAAATGAAAACGATTCATTAGATATTGAGCATGTTCTTGCTCATCAAGCATCGAATGGTGATCCAATAGCCGTAAAAACTTTTGAAATATTTGCTCATCTATTGGGGCAATTTCTTATACCCTATATTAATGCATTTCATACGCAACTTATTGTTATTGGTGGTAATCTTGCTGAAGTTTGGTATTTACTTGAAAATCAACTTAATTGTACTATTAAAAAGTATTCTCAAGCTCAAACATATTTTAGTCTTTCACAAGGCAAATCTATATGTTTTGGTGCTGTTCAACAGCTGTCTTCAGAAAACTCTAAAAGTTCATTTCGAAAAACTCATCAATATTTATTGCCTGTTACAAAAAACATCGACACATCACAATACGATATATATCCAACACATCAAATTCCTAGTGGTGATATTGGTAGTGGATATCAACAATTAAATGAGAAATTATGCAATTTAATAGAAAAAAATGATATATTATTAATTGATGGTTTTGTTGGAACATATTTTAATGAATATGCACATCAATTAAATAAATATTATTCTCAAAACAAATTATCATCATTACTTTTCTATGATAGTCGAACATTTTTACAAACAGATTCTAATCTTGATCGTGAATTCCATCTAAAACATCCAAAATCTTTATTCGGTAAACTTGCATCTGGTTTAGATTTTAAAAAAGATTTTATTGATTCGAAAAAATTTGAATTTTTCAAAAATAATCTCTCGTATCCATGCGTTATTATTGGACCTGGTTCTTCATATGTGAATGAAACATCACCATTAGTTTATATTGATTTAGCTAAAAATGAACTTTATTATCGTATTGCAACAGAAACAGCATGTTCCTATTTGAAACCAACACGAAGACTAAAATCCGATGACAGTGAGTTAACGTCGGCAGTGTTTGAACAGAAGTGTCTCTATTTTCTTGATTATCCTGTTTTTAATAAACTTAAACAAGAACTTCTACCTCGTATTAACTATTTTATTGATGGTCAACGACCCAATTGTCCTACATGGATCGATGGTTCTACATTTCGTCAAGCACTTGCTCATATAGCTAATCAACCGATTCGTGTGCGACCTTGGTTTGAACCAGGTCCTTGGGGTGGTCAATGGCTTAAAACAGTTTGTAAAAATATTTCACAACATGCAAAAAATTATGCATGGTCATTTGAAATGATAACATCAGAAAATGGTTTACTCTTATCCGATGTAAATAATCATCTTCTTGAGCTTTCATGGGATTTGTTTTATGGTTCACAAGTTAGTAAAATATTAGGAAACGATATTCATCGTCAATTGTTTAGCAATGCAAATGATTTTCCAATACGATTTGATTTTCTTGATACTATCGACGGCGGAAATCTATCTATACAATGTAATCCTAGTCTTGCATATATACGTACACATTTTGGTGAAAAAATTACACAAGATGAAGCATATTATATTGTCGAAACTAAACAACACTGGCAACAAGCAAGTGCCAATGATGCAACATCTTCATCGTATATTTATCTTGGTTTTCATGAAAATATTGATCATGAAGAATTTCATCAAGCATTAGTACATAGTGATAGAAGAAAACAGGAAATAAATATTGAAAACTATGTTCAACGTATTCCAACAAATGTTCATGATTTTTTTCTTATACCAAATCAAACAATTCATGCAGCTGGTCGTAATCAAGTTGTACTTGAAATTTCAGCTAGACCACATATTTATACATTTAAATTATACGATTGGTTACGTTTAGGTCTTGATGGTCATCCACGTCTTTTAAATATCGAACATGGTATGGAAAATCTAAAATTTGATCGACACGGTGAACAACTTCGTTGCCAACCAGTATCGCTTAAAATTGAGCAAGATCAATATGAAGAACAACATTTGCCAACGCATGATTTACATTTTTATGATGTACAACGTCTTATTATTGAGCCAAATGAAAATATTCAAATAATTAGATCAACTGAAAATCGTTTTCATCTATGTATGTTAGTTGAAGGTGATGCTATTGAAATACAATTTGATTCGCATGACAACAATCAAGAAAAACAAACACGACAATATAATTATATTGAGACATTTTTAATTCCAGCATCGATTAATGAATATTGTCTAAGACCAATCATTAATAATAATAATCATAATAAGGACACGAGACCACAGAAATTTACTTTACTTATAGCATTTCTTAAGTGGGATTGTGAAAAAATACTTGAATAAATATTTTTTTAGTGAACCAAAATATTTAATGAATCTTTGAGATAGTAATTGTTTATTAAAACATCAAAATAATTGTATTCTATAGAAAGATTTAGAATTACTGACGAATTAATGCATTTCTCTACATTAGATATTTAATAAATTAGCCTCGACTTATTTACAACTGTTAAATACAAAGTATGTTTTATTTAACAAACAGTTGTAGATAATTTTAGATTGTATTCAATACAATTTTTGTTTTTATCTCAATATTTTCATCTTCAATGTAAACTGAAATCAATTGAGATTTCTATTGAAATTTGTCCTTAATCTCGATTATCGAAAGTCAAAATCTGTTCAATTCGAAAATAAATCATCCGAGCTGATTTCTTTGCTGATTATATCCTCCTATAAAATTAAAATATCTGAACTCGTACAAAAGAACAACAACATACTGGAAGAAAACTATTGCGAAAACAACCGCAATTTTGTTTATTAGTAAAATATGTACTATGAATCATTTAACGTCTACAATTTAGACGAGCTTCGATAACATATTATTTCTGTATTTATTTCATAGATTGTTGTATTCGAAAATATTTACCTATCAACTGTAAACATTCATTTGTAGTACAAATAAATAAAATACACTTGTCTTCACTATAGAAAATAATCTCACCATCTTTGTTTGAAATATCTATAGCAAGTGTACTCAATTTGCTTTTTGATTCATAATACAAATGTCAAATAGATTATGAAAGCCTAACAGGCGATGAATACTCATCCAGAAAAAAAAAGAAAAAAAACTGATTAGTTATCTATTTTGCATTCAAATGAAAATTTTATTTTGTCCTTGTCTAAAATCAAGATAATATTTTTTTAAGTAAACAGAAAGATCTAAAGAAAATATTTTCAACCGCTTGAAAAGGCGTCGTATCAGTAAGCTTTTCTGTTGTTGATGTCATGCACGATTGAGTTTCGTACTGTTTTGACTAATGTGAACTACATATGTATAGAATAGAATAAACCATTATTTTTGCTATATACTAGGAAAAAAAATATCACGTGTTCGCGAAATCAGATCATTTTTTCTTTCTTAGTCATATGATTTAATAGAACTCAGTGAGAGAAACTTATGATTCGGTTTTCTCTTGTTAGAATCGATTTCGTTCATATACTGTAGTAGAGAGAACATGCATAATGACATTAGTACACTTGTCACATATCCAGGCAAGAATGATGTTTGCTATTTCTATAGCTACCTGTCGCATACCAAATTTGACGCTTCAATCATCATCAGGAAAAAGCAAGCTTTTTTAAAAAATAAAAATTGTGGCCTGATGATTGATATCGAATTGTGCATTTTTTACAATCAACATAATAGTATTGATGAGTCTCTCTTCTAATGAGAGAGACCTTAAAATATGATTACTCTGTCATAGCTTGTTTTTCATGTCGTGCACATCAATGTTGTATAAGTAAATAAATAAATAAATAAAATCTATGTCTAAATGAATTAAATTATCACAGTCAAGGAATTTCTTCTGTCAAAAAGCTAACCTCGAAAGGCAAATAAATCATTAAAATCGAATATACATATTTCATATGCACAATAAAAATAATTTATGATTTTATCTCAGCTGAGAAGAAAAGAGCTTGCTCGTATACAAGGCCACTATTATCAAAGTAGGTATGAGTGTGAAGTTGTGTATTTGAACTATGAAAATCGAACTCTAGCTCATGTTCAAATAACTATCGTTGTTCATCATAGTAACTTGTTCAACACACACTGATGATAACGAAGATGTGGTGTTTATTCCATTTTAAAATCTGTTGATTTAGTTCTATTCAAGCCATAGTTCAGATTCATTATTCTTTTTCATATTCTTTTTGTTAACGCCTATGAAGCCAAAGCATATATTAGTTTAGAGTTTTGCCATATCTTTTTGCAGACAATGCAGATCATTCACGTATGCATCGCTGATATTGTATTTTTCATTCTTATTCTTGCATTTTATTTGTCATCGAAATATAAAATGAAACTGTCATAAGGTGCCGCTAAAGCAGAATTAGAGTAAATTTTGTTTCTCGTTTATTTATATATGGTTTGATAGAGCTTGAAAATTTGATCAAGAATATGTACTTTTTATTTCGATTTCATCTTTTTTTGGCTGCGAAAATCT